TTAAAAAATTACCTCTGTGGAACATCGGTTACGACTGGGTGCTGCGCGCCGACCTCCCTACCGGCGTCAGCGTAGTTTGCTACGCTGACGACACGCTGGTACTGGCACAAGGGGGGTCGTACGAGGCGGCGGCGGAAAATATGACACGCGGGGTTGCGATAGTCGTTGAGAGGATTCGGCAACTGGGTCTCGAGGTGGCTCTGCACAAGTCCGAGGCCATGCACTTCCATGGTCCTCGGAACAGGCCACCACCGGGATCCTCAGTGATGGTAGGGGGGTATCCATCGGCGTCGAGTCGACGCTGAAGTACCTAGGACTCGTCCTCGACGGCCGATGGAACTTCGTTGAGCACTTCCGACGTTTGGCTCCCAAACTGGAACGGACCGGGGCTGCCTTCAGGCGGCTCCTGCCGAACCTGGGAGGGCCAAACGCCTCCTGCCGGAGGCTCTACGCGGGGATCGTGCGGTCCATGGCCCTTTACGGGGCCCCGGTGTGGGCGCGTGGTTTGGCGCGGCTTGCCGTCCACCACCTGAACGCGCCCCAAAGGGTGATAGCCGTGAAAATGTTCGCGGCTACCGCACGATCTCCCGCGAGGCGGCGAGCCTCCTTGCCGGATTGCCGCCATGGGATCTGGAGGCGATAGTCTTCGCGCGCCTGCACGAATGGCGTGCGGAGGCACAGTGCCGTGGGGAAACCCCGCTGCCGCGGCAAGTTGTCGCGCAGCGGACAGACTTCCGGCACGATCTCATGGCGACATGGAGACAGTGACTGTCGCAACCCCGTGCTGGGAGCGGGAGGAAACGCCCGGGTGCTCCCACTGCGAGGATGTACCGGAGGACACGGTGGAACACACCGTGGAGGTGTGCCCTGCTTGGGCGGAGCACCGCCGTGTCCTCGTAGCGGTGATAGGCGGCGGCGACCTCTCGCGTCCGGCCCTGGTCGAAGCCATGGTCCGGAGCGAGACGGAATGGGATGCCGTCACCACCTTCTGCGAAGCAGTGATGCTAGCGAAGGAGGTGGCGGAACGGGAGAAGGAGAGAGCAGCAGCTTTCGGGCGTCGGGGGCTACTTCGTGGCCCCCGGCCACCGTAGGCGCGGGCTTGTGGACGGCGAGCAATGGGTAGCTCGTCGTCCGTCCGTCTAATGACGACAGGCCGTGTCGACGGCGCGTTTTGTTCCACGCGCGCCTCAAAGAGCTGTCAGCAGCGTGAAGGGCCCCGCAGGGGCCGACGCCTGCCGGGGCTGCGGGCTGTTCGAAAGAGATACCGCGGCTCCGGAACGTAAAGGCACTGAAGGAACACGGATGGTTTTTAGTCAGTAAAAGTCTGACACTCCCTTACGCTCCACCCAGAGCGAAAGGGGTCATTAGATGATTTTCCATCCGCAAAAAAAAAAGGGCAGTTGACAGTAAACGGTTAAGTGGGCAGTAGCATTCAAACAATGTCTTCGTAGCGAGTTTAGTTAAGGACATTAGTTCATAGAGTTCGTTGGAGTATGACGTTTCAAGACTACAGAATTTTTCCGGTTTTCGTTTACGATGGTTCTAGGATTACGTCAAGAATTAAATGATCTAGTCAGAGAAGTATTAATGGTTGTTGTTAAAGAAGTTTTCAAGAATTATCATGAGTGCAGCATCTCGATCAGGTTTAATTTTACAATTTGAACTTCTACTGTTATATAAACATTCCTGTTCTAAATATTCCTGTACAAATTTATACGTGATATCTTCCGTCCATTTTATTACTAAAACTTAATATAAAACGTATAAATATTCAATAAACAGTATCGTACAAACTTTGTGGCGAGTTTCATTATAAAAGTACAATTGTACGTTTTGGCGCGCAAGCGTTGCGTCCTGTCAACTTATGCACTGAACTAAACTCGCTCGTTTACACGAACGGCGAGTTAAGTTGCGGGTGGCGGAAGACGCGCGGGAGGGCAGCACTTCGCACTTAACTCGCCGAAAAATAGCTTTGCCGGCTATCCCGTTCAACTTAATCGTTAACTTGCTACTTAACTCGCTTATTGCCGTTCAAACGAGGTTCAAATTTAACTCGCCAGGTTCGCAAGTTAACTCGCTACTGTACTTGTCGAAGTGTAAATCAGTCTTTGCAGTCAACTATCATATTTTTTATTACGAAACTATTTTCCGCAACGGCATTGACCGAGCCATGGAGGTTAGAGAACAGGAGAACGATCGCTACATACTATTATTTATTCTGTGTCGCTACGTACTAAAGCATAGCCCGCCTGTCCTTTAAAAATTTGTAGAATTTACAGCGTTGCCGTCGGTGAGTAGTGGCTGCGAAGTTAGCTGTTTATGAGTACAAGTAGATGAAGTTGATATTGTAGTGAGAAAATTTTCATGCTATTTTTTTATTTTTGACAAAAAAAAAACATTAAAAAAATAGAGAAATATTTTATTGTGCTTGGATGTGCAAATGGTTTAGCATCTGATCGGAAAAATAGACTGAAAATGACTTTTATTGAGCGAACTTAGCGATCGCAGCGCCTCACTTATGGTGTCCATATTTCTGGGACACTATTTTCTACGGCGATCGTTCTCCTGTTCTCTAACCTTCATGGACCGAGCTTATCTCAAGTCGATAATTTCAGGCAGTACACACTTTTCATAAAACGCTAGTAACTTGGGTAACATATTCAAAATCCAAAATTGGTCGTCTATGTAGATTTACTGCATAATCTGGGCCAGTCCATATGGCAAGTATGTACACATTTTTATTCTCCATTACTATTTCTCGAGGGATAGGATATTTCAATTTTTACGTTTAGTAACGCATTGATACTTGTATTTATTTTTCCCCATTCCAACTAGTAAGAAAGCTCAGCTACAATCATAATAACTATAATGAGTTAACTATCTGGTTTAATAATAATGTGCGAATTTTATACTAAATGACATATACTGTACGAAAGTAAATACTTCCAACGATCAAAAACTGCGGTCGTAGTTGACGATGCTCTAGCACGCACAAAATAGCAGCGCCTATACGGCAATTGACGTACAGTACGATAGTATCGAAACAACGCGACGTAGCGCGCGAAATCAAATGTCGCAGGTACAACTTTCAGTTTATATAAAGGTACTCTGTCGGTCCAACCTCGACAAGCGCACACGCGATAATAATCGCAGATAGCCGGCGCAGTGAAATATGTGAAACTAATGAAATATATGAAAAAAATAATTAAAAAATAATAGTAATTGATTTAAAAAGTAAAAATAATAGTATAGTTTAAGCTAAGCAAATGTTAATGATTATTTTGGTATAAATTTTACGTCAAAATGATGTAGAACTTCGTAGCTATTGGGGCTTGTAAAAACATTTTTTGATGGTCGATAGGATATTCAATAGAATCTACAAATTAGAGCAACCAAATCATGTTTCTGAGAGTTTTTGCCTAAAGGTACATCGGGAGAATGATTATTATTAAATAAATAAATAAATTATCTTAAATTTGCTCTGAGCTTATTGTAGAGAAGACGAACTATTTTTACCAAGTAATTGTTATTTCAAACAACGAACGATAAACATACAGTTTCAACGAGGACCTTGTAATTTTGCGTGTTTTTGTAATACTCCTCTTAAGAATCAAATATTTTACGTACCGATTTTTTGGTTAGCATGCCTAGTTCAATAAGTCTGACAGCTGTAAAAATGTTTTCCTTAGATTTGGTTGAGGATAAAACTTACTTAAAAAGTTAAGAAAACATTAATGGAAATAAAATACCATTTCAAAGAACTAAACAACTTCGTTCTGAAGTCGGGTCTAAGCACTGATTTCAGACTGGGAAATGATTTTCTTCTTTTGAGTGCTTTGAAGTTGGCATTTACTTTTTATTAACAGATATTTTTTTAAGAACTAATGTCTCCAAAATGGGCACATAAAATTTTTAAGAAAAAAATACAATTTTCCTGAATTTTTTGAGATCTTGAATACGAAATTAGTTGAAATCATCATAGTTATTTCTTGTTCAATACTATCACGAGTAGTACACAGTGAAAGTAAATTTTTTATTTACTACTACTATACATATAAAAAACTGAGTTTTTTTTCCAGATTGTTTGTAAAACGTAGGTGCGCTAGCATTTTTTATTAGTTTGTGAGCTTAGGTATACATTGCCCCATAAATTAATTACCTACTAATTCTGTGAAGTTTTAATGTGAAAGAAAATTTCTTAATCCCGAAGAGATTGAAGGCGAGAAGGCTGTATCGGCACACTGACTGTGCTGGCTCTCGATGACGACGTTGGCGTGCTCTATAATGAGCTGCCACTACACCATTCGACAATCCTGGAACAAAATCAGTTCACTCACTTTTTTAATCTAGTAAAATATACACCGATTAGCACTACAGAGAATAGTGGGTCGATGTGGGTTGAGGAATGATGACGATGAAGGTAGATAAATAGAAAAGTAAGCAACTTACATTCGTAGCACTAAATGTTACTGGTTTTTAACATATCATTGATCTAAGATCTTGATGCTCGATCTGCAAGAAAACTAGTGATCCACCAATTGCACAATTTATCGGGAAGCCCATAAGAAGGTAGCTTCGAAAGAATCGCTTAGTGCCAAACTCGATCGAAGGCCTTCGCAATGTCCAAACTAACGGCCACGGCCTCCCCAGTAAACCAGAAGATCATCATCTCAGTGACCCTAACGTAAACCGTACTGACGTTAGCTGGTGAAAAATAATGCTGTTGATAAATGATCACAAGTGAAAACGATGTACATTTTCAGGTTTTTTAATCCGCTTAGGTGAATTGCGATCTATCATATCAACAATTCGCTGGATTAAGCTGATGTGAAAGTTGCTAAAAAGCTATGCAATGTGACATGTCAACCTAGGCTGTATTGTCTAAGACCTTTGCCTGTCTTCATTAGCTCACATACTATTGGCGCGAAAACGAAGATTCTAAACATTTTGAGATTCTGAACCACTCGGTTTAATTGGACAAAGTATTATTTAAGTGCAAAATGCAGTCATATTATAAATTTTATATTGAAAACCCTAATTTTAATAATATAGGTCATGTCGTAGCTACTGCTAACTTAAGCGATAAGCATGACCGATCAACTCCATCTGATTACCACTGGAAAATTTTGAAGTGCAGGTAAAATACTGAGAATTATTAATTAAACCCAGTTAATTGTTAAAGTTAAATAAAACCATTTTTTACAGAATGATCATATTCTCAAATCCTTCGTTCTTAGCTTGCCCTGATAAAAAAGAACTTAAGCAAGTTCACATAATTATTAACACCTTAAGCGATGACTATGATAGTTTAACTTCGTTATTTTTAAAATTTTGTCTTAAACAAGTAAGTATAAATCTAACTAAAATTTCTTTGTTGCTCGTTCAAATTAATATGAAAAATTTCACGCTTTAATATTTAAGGAAGGGTCTATAAGGACAGTAACATCAGAAACCTTTTTGATGTGCTACCATTACACATTGACTGCAAGAGTTGCACCAATTTGGAATACGTTGGGTCATGATTATCTTATAAATAATAGAGATTTCTTGACAGCAATCGGACCTCAAGAAGGAATTAAATATAATATTTCGATTGACGGTAAGAATTTTGCTTGAAGATTTCCAATGTAATTTAAATTCCATCAACATTAAGGATATAATTAAAGATATAAGTCAATATTCTTAATTATGGTGAGATCTAGACTTAAATTACCGTCAGTTCAGATATTCGTTAAAATATTATTTTGGAATCTGAATGCAAATCTCCTCCTGCAGTTTACTTATAATCTTTGATAGGAGGAAGAAATTGTCGCTGTAGTCAAAATCACATAGTAGTTTAAAGACATGGTCAAAATTGACCAAGATTACAACGCCATCATACAATCGAATACACAAATTCAAAGCATTATAAAATAAGTACATGATATTGCATGGTTTTTCAGATTCATCAACTGTACTCGAATTAAAGCCTGTCAAAATTACTTTAATGAAATCTGACAACAAATACAAACCCGGCGACTGTATCAAAGTATTACCAAGGTTTGCAGCTTTTTAATAATTTATAAAGTCAATCGTCAAATAAAAAATATTTGGTATGAAATTGTCTTCAATGGTAACCTTTTGAATTTTAATTAGTTTGAACAAAGCTGTGGTGGAGGATTATTATGAAACGTTGCCAGAATCAGGTGACTTCAGGTGTTACAAAGATTTACGACGACATTGGAAAAATATTGTGAGTTGATTTTTATATTATCGTTTTACGTTGTAGATCCATAGTGCAGCTATATATTATATATAGCCATACGGTTGGTTTTAACACGAATAGGTCGGCTTGACCGGGGAGGACCACACTCTCAAAGACTATGAACGTAAAGTAGCAAATAAATGCTGCTGTTTCGTACACTGAATGTAGAGAACTGGAGACTTTTTACTGGAAGCGAGGCATTCTATCTTAGTCCTCAGATATAGATGTATATGGGCAACAGCATCCATTTATCATCATCTGGACCTGTGTGCCCGGTGGTCGCCCTTATTCTATAAAAAAAACTTTTATCCCACGACTTCAACCGCGTAGAACTTAAACAAAAAAACTTACAGATCTATGTAAGTGGTATTTGGGCAAGTGATTCAGTTCCCGTAAAATCACAATTTACTTATCTTTTCGCTATTATCTCGAAAATGTGGTAGAGCCATGCTGCAGTTATATTAGTAGTATAGTTGTAGCACGAATGGCTCGGCTCGACCGGGGAAGGACAACGCTCTCACAGAATACCAGCGTCAAATAGTAGCTTAATGCTGCTGTGTTTCGTAAGGTGAGTGTAGAGAACCGGAGACCCTTTTTACTGGAAATGAAGCATTCCATCTTAGTCCTCACGGGTGACAACGCATCTGCATTTTGATTCGTAATCGAGGATAGATGTAGATGTCTATGGGTCACAGCAACCACTTACCATTAGGTGAATTGTGTGCTCGTTTGTCACCCTATCCTATAAAAAAAACTATAAGAGATAATGGGAAATAAAAAAAATTAAAATTTCAAATTGTTAATTTTACGTAAAAAGATCTTATCAACTTCCATCATGTATATAAGCATGCAAATATCGCTCTGAATTTAATAGAAGGCGGCGATTTTGATATTACAGACCATATTGCAACACCGGCCACCGGCCGACCGGAGGGGACTAGCCATGCACATGCACATACACAGGCGTACCCCTCTGTCAAAGTATAAGTACACGCCATCATCATCATCATCATCATTACAGCCCTTCACAAGTCCACTGCTGAACATAGGCTTCCCCCAAGTAATGCCACAAAGCACGGTCCTGAGCCACCTGCATCCATCGACTTCCTGCATATCTTACCAGGTCGTCACTCCATCTAGTGGGGGGTCGCCCTACACTACGCCTACCGGTACGAGGCTGCCACTCGAGAACCTTTCTTCCCCATCGGTTATCGGTTCTTCGAGCTATATGGCCGGCCCATTGCCACTTCAGCTTACTAATCCGTTGGGCTATGTCGGTCACTCTGGTTTCACTGCGGATAACCTCATTTCTGAGTCTATCACGCAATGAAACTCCGAGCATAGCCCTCTCCATAGCTCGCTGAGCGACCTTGAGCGTCCTCATATGGCCAGCGGTGAAGGACCACGTCTCAGATCCGTAAGTCATCACTGGCAACACGTACTGGTTGTACACTTTAGTTTTCAGAGATTGAGGTATACCTGATGAGAAGATGTGTCGTAATTTCCCGAACGCTGCCCAGCCGAGTTGAATCCGTCGATTGACCTCTCGGTCGAAGTTGGACTTACCTAGTCGGACTATTTGTCCCAGGTAAACGTACTCGTCAACAACTTCGAGCATAGTGCTCCCAACAATTACCGGCATAGGTGTGACATGGACATTAAACATGATCTTTGTTTTGTCCATGTTCATCTTAAGACCTATCCGTTGGGAGACACCATTGAGGTCATTGAGCATAGTGCTAAGGTCCTCCAGCGATTTTGCCATAAGGACTATATCGTCGGCAAATCCAAGGTGAGTGATTTACTCGCCATTGATGTTAATACCGTATCCTTTCCGGTCCAGTAGCTTGAAAACGTCTTCCAACTCTGCGGTGAAGAGTTTCGGGGATATAACATCACGATGTCTTACACCTCTCTGCAGTTGGATAGGTTTCGTACTCTGGTTCTGTACTCGGATAGCCATCGTAGCCCTACTGTACAAACACTTCAGCACTTCAATATACCGACAGTCAACTAGGCACCGCTGAAGAGACTGTAGCACCGCCCCAATTTCGACGGAATCAAAGGCTTTCTCATAGTCCACATACGCCAGGCAAAGTGGCAGATTGTACTCTTCGGACTTCTGTACAATTTGCCGAAGGGTATGTATGTGGTCTATGGTACTGAAGCCTTTTCGGAAACCAGCTTGTTCGGGAGGCTGGAAGTCGTCGAGTCTGCGTGCGAGACGATTCGTAATGACTCTCGAAAACAGCACGTAGACGCGGCTCAGAAGGGAAATCGGTCTGTAGTTCTTCAAGAGAGCGTTGTCGCCTTTCTTAAAGAACAAAACCACCGCGCTTCTGCTCCACGCCTCCGGAGTAATGCCACCATGGAGGACGGAATTGAAGAGCCTCTGAAGGACTTCAAGTACCGGTGTTCCATCCGCTTTCAGAAGCTCCGCTGTAATTCCATCCTCGCCCGGGGCCTTGCCGTTTTTAAGGTGGTGGAGAGCCATTCTAATCTCGCTCAGACTGACGTCCGGGATATCATCGGAATAGTGTCGGATAAGACTTGCTCTTGGATCGTTACTCACATTTGCGTGTGGCTCCAACGATGATGTGTACAGCTGCCCATAGAACCTCTCAATCTCACTCAGAATCTCAGGTATCCCGGAAACGATGTTGCCACACTCAGTCTTCAGCCTTGACAGTTGGCTCCTTCTGGCAGACAGATCTCTGGGAAAGACTTTGGAGCCCTGGTTCTGCTCGATCGCTTCTTTAATACGAGCAGTATTAAAGTTGCGTAAGTCTCGCCGCATGCATTTGGAGATCTGTCTGTTCAGCTGCCTGTATGCTGTCAAATCTGTTGACGATTGCAGCCTCATCTCCCGTCTAACAGCCATGAGATTAAGAGTGTGATCGGAGAGTTTTTGTGTTCTTCTGCGGCGGGTCTTGCAGAACTTAGCTCCGGCCGCATGGACAGTTTCCACGAGCTTGTCATTCATATCGTCCACTGCATTGCAATCTTCTAGGCCCTGAAAGCGGTTGTGTAACTCGAGCTGAAAGTTTTCGGGATTCTGGATTAGAGCACGAGGGGGATGGAGCGTTGACTTCATTAGACGAGACCTCTCCAACTTAACGTTTAGGTTCAGTGTGCCTCTAACCATTCGGTGATCGCTGCCAGTTTTCACCCTTGCGATCACTGAGACATCACTGAACAGTTCGCGTCTGGTCGTCATAATGAAGTCATTTTTCATCTCATGTTTTGTCGAACCGTCGGGGCTCGACCAGGTCCACTTCCTGTGGGGCCGCTTCTGAAGAAAGAGTTCATCATAAAGAGTCCCTCTTTCTCCATAAAGTCGGCCAGCTGCTGGCCCCTTCGGTTCCGTTGCCCTACTCCAAATTTCCCCACCTTCAGCTCACCGCTTTCTCTTGTGCCCAGTTTTGCGTTAAAGTCTCCCATCAACACCGTGTAGTGGGTTTTGGAGGAATGCATGGCTCTGGAAATATCCTCATACATTTCCACTCTCCACCACACTCCACCTCCTCATCGGGATGTGCCGAGGTTGGTGCGTAAACCTGTACGACCTTCAGCGAATACCGTTTGGTGATTCTGAGTATCAGGTACGCGACCCTCGTCGACACACTCCCAATCTTTACAACGTTGTTGACGAGAGACTTGTGGACGATAAATCCGACACCTCCTTGGGACAGATGGTCGCCCTCCCGGTGGTAGAACAAGTTGCCGGACTCGAGGATTGCCGTATCCTCCCCCTCTCTTCGGACCTCGGATAATCCAATAATATGCCAGCGCAACTTGTCTACCTCTTCTTCCAGCTCCAGTATCTTCTCGTCAGTCCTCAGGGTGCGTGCGTTATATGTTGCCAGGTCGAGTCGTCGTAGGTGGCAACCATACACGTACACGCCATAGAATACTATAATACATACATAATAGAACGGGGGTGTGGGCGGAGCCCATGTAGCCACTAAAATGCCACTAACACGTCAATTCACACGTATAAATGTCAACACGAGATGTGTTTTGACGTTACAATCGTTTCCAAATTTCGCATGCAAATTATTTAGAAAATGCCAAATTGCACGCTATTTACAAATAAATGTGTATTAAAATGTGTCTGTCAACACAGCGAATCGGGTTTATAGTAGTAATTAACTGATAATACGACGTAATTGCTTGTATGTGCGTCCCCGGCGACGCAGATCTTGACAGGTTGACAGCCATTCTATTGTGTATTATAGTCGTAGACAGAGAAACCTATAGACTAATGATTAACGTGGTCTCGAGTGAGAAAGGACGATAGCGTAGTTTTAGATTATACAATAATTTTTATGACTTTTAAACATACTTAGATAAAAATTTTAATTGTTCTAAGAACTGAACTGAACAAGACTCACCAATCTTAAGCTCACAAAACACTTTTTTCTCACTTAAACCAACTTGTAAACTCCTTAGATTGCTACGAACTGTCAAATTTGTTTAGCAAAGTGTAGTTTGCTAAACAAAAAAAAACCGGCACGGAGAAAGGGACAAACAATCACACCGCTCTATCTCATTTCTATGCAAGGCTTATGCATAAATCTATCTATTTCGTGTGCAAATGCGAAAGAAGGCGTCAATTTGTCTATAGGTTTCTCTGTCTACGATTATAGTATTCTATGGTACACGCGGTTCTATGCGTACAATAAAACTACATAGTTGCAGCGGCACTGCTCACTAGACCAAATCTAGTTGCGCGGCTGAATCAACGTCCTACAAAAATGCAGAATTATATAGCTTTTTGCTGCTACAAAAGGATGGCGTTACATCTCATAAATAAGTAATTTTATATCACATTATTGATATTTAGACCCGTGGTAGCTCAGATGGTTAACGCTCGCCGTAAATGTAACAGAACGTGAGTAACCCGGGTTCGATCCCCGCCGGCACCAATGAAATTGTTAATTACAATTTTAAGTGCTGATTTACCACGTGCTTGGCGGTGAAGGAAAACATCGTGAGGAAGAGAAATAAGAAATAAAAAAAAATATTTCGAAGACATGTGAAGTTCGCCAACACGCATTGGGGCAACGCGGCGGACACTTCCTTGCCCTAAAACCCTCTCAGAAATGAGGGGAGGCCTGTGCCCAGCAGTGGGACGTAGCTGTATGTATAGGCTGTAACTTTACTTTTTTATTGATATTTACTTCTTTTTAAGCTTAAAAATTACAATAATAACGGTCGTGTTGTTTCGTATTTGTTTTAATTGCGTTTTGTTTTAGTGTGGGCAGACTCCCCCGCAAAAACGATAGACAGTTTTGTATCGAGAAAAACGTGACGGCTACTCCCCTCCGGTACGCCGCGCCGGTGGCTCGTTTAAATTTTATTTATATGTATAGAATATAGATTCTTATTGAACAAATATTAAATATTCTTAACTACTAATGTTATTCACTTACCAAGTGACTATATTAAAATATATTTTTTGAAATTCAGCTTAATCCTTTATAAGTTTTAAATATATCCTTCCATTTTAAAGCATGGTTATCGTTTACCTGAAGAGGAATCTCCTTATTACGCAGTTCGATTTTGGCGTGGGGAGCCACTAACTTATCCAAAAATATGCTTGACGTCAAATTTTCCCATCATTACGCCATTGCCAAAATCAACTGAGGTACGTATTTTCAAAAAGATATAGCTTTGTCTAGAAATTATCTATATCTAATTAAGTGGACGCTTACCGAATATTCGGTGAAGCTTTAGACCACAAACCCAAATATTTGGCCGTCGGATATCTGGCAAAAGCTCTGAGAAAAGAAGCTATCGTTGTAAGTTAAAGGCTGCCGGTAGTGGGCCGCGGAAACAAATCCCGCTCCAAACAACAATTGGTATATCTTACAAAGAATTGTTCCAGGTCTGCGTGTTTGCCCATATTTAGTTAAAGAACCAAGGAATACACTACTCTCTAACGAGAGTTACGACTGTAAAACGCCTTCATGCTACATGAGGATCTTCTAGCATATTTTTTAAAAATAATAACAAGTTGTAAAATTAAAAAAATTGTACAACCGACTTCAATATAAATAAAATGAGGACGTCATCAATGTTTTCGAAGTCAATTAAATACGCATTATTAAAGTAACTCAAAAACTACTGTTTAAATCTTGATTAAATTTATATACAGCATAGGTCCACATGAATAGCATCAGCTTTCAATTAAAAAGAAAATCATTAAAATCGATTCACCTAGAAAAAAGTTCAGCTTCCTAGAGCCTTGACGTCGAGATCTGATGAGAACTCGACTTTGAAAAACCGGGGTGAAAACAATAACCTCCCGATTTTTTGAAAATCATTGATTTTCATAGCGGAAAATTAAAATTACAGTCGAATTGTTTATCACCTCCTTTTTTAAGTCGGTTAAAACCCATGAGCCATTAAATTATTGACTATGAAAGCGTTCGCAAAAAGCTGTTCTTGTATATTACGAAGAATAGCGCGATACTCTACTATCAAGTAATGCTAGGGAAATCGGCTTTATTTCCTATCTTATTAATATTTGTTATTAAATTTTATATTCGAAAGACTTTAAATCACATAATGTCCTTTTTAAATTACTTCTTTTTATGAACTCCGTTATATTATTCTATTTTAGGCCACTGTACTCGCAAGATTTTTAAGTTGTCTAAGAAGTAAGATGTCTAAATTTCTTGGAATTCCATTGACATTAATCAACCAAGAAGAAAGAGACTTTAACGGAAACGAAGTAAGTGTTTCTTTTGCACTTTTTACGTATGTATTTCATTACTTTTGAAATATATGAAAATGATTTATCCGTTCGCTGAGCGAGTGTGTTAAACGATCAATTCTTGTATATACGGAATCTCGGAAACGGCTCCAACAATTTTCATAAAATTTAGTGTCCAGGGAGTTTCGGGGGCAATAAATCGATCTAGCTAGGATTTATTTTTAGAAAATGTCTTTTTGTCCGTGTTTTCAGGCAATGAAAAACTGCTACAATATTATTATTAATGGTAGTAATAGCTCAAGTGGATAGCGAGCGGTCGCGAAATCGTAATGCCTTGGTTCGCGTCCTGTCTTCGGGCCGATTTTTTTCCTTTTTTTCAAGTTCTCTTCTTTTGTGAGAAAATCTATTATTTCGAGCTCTTTTTTAGTATTTTTTTAAAAATACGCAATTTTTAATTAAACTAATTGCACTCATGATTTTTTATTCAAATAACCCGTTTAGTTTTTTCTATTATGCAATAAGATCAAAAAATATTATTTATGTTTCTTCAGTATGTAATTTGTATCTAAATGTAATTTCAAAAAAAAAAACGAGCAAAGCTCGGTCATACATGTACTAAGTACATATTTTAGAGACTATTTCACAAAGATGATTGAAATTATGCCATACACATTTTTCCTTTATTCTGAAACTTTCTCAAGATTACGTAGTGTTCATAATTTTTTTAATTTATTGAAAATCTGTATTCGGCGTGTGGCCGAATATATTATTCGTTGCAATTCTGGTTTGTAATAGGTAATGATAAATTAATGTGGATAGGGGACCGTGTCGAAAATTTTTTCATGACATACATTATCTAGAAAAGACAAAAGACCTATACGTCCAAAACCTAACGTAAAATAAATAATCTTTGTCAAAATATATGTAACGCTTTCATTTCCCAAAAAACTCGCAAAATTTGGACAATCAGGCAAATCTCATTCGTTTAACACCGTCACATTTAGGCAAAGATTTAAATCTTTGATTTAAGTATTTATATATTTTTGAACCTCAAAACCGGTAAAATAAAGGTTCTTAAAGGTTCCAATTTAGGTTCAGGTTCCTGTTCCGGTATAGGTACCGGAACCCCTAAATACCTGTTCTATACCGGTATTATGGAACCGTTTTCAATCCCTGCTCAGATGAAGTAAAAAAAACTTTTTTTCTTCATCTATGTTTTTGAATACTTATAACATGTATGACTATTTTAGTTAAATTAAAGACAAGGTACATTCGTTTAACAAATGTGCTTTCCTGCAGAATTTTTACTTTAATAGATAAATGGAATCAAATATAACATGTATAACAACTGATGAGTTGTAATATATGTTATCGGATAAACTTTTATTGATTTTGTTTGAAATACTGCATATAGGTATCTATATATTTGTAGTAACGTAATAATAATGGTTAGGACATTTAATGTTTCGTTTTTAACATAGTGGTCTTAACGTTTGGTGTATAAAACTGACTAGGCAAAGTTACCGTACTAATGATGCCACGATGTGACGGTAACTTTGCCATGGTTTTTTACAACCTAGGGTTGTCATTTTCAAGGAAAATGTTTTGTACTTGACATTCTAGATATATATATGTTTTACCGTAGCAGCCTTCGATCAACAATACCAATTGGTATTGTTGATCGAAGGTAGCAGCAATTTAGACCAATTTTACCAAATGAGTTGTCACTCGATTCATCTTTATCAAAAGCTAAGGAAAAAAAGAAATCTGTATTATTTTTACTGCGTTGTCGGTATTAATAATAATATTACTAATCTATATTTTTTATTTCTTCAAATAAGGTTGATATTAATTTGAACCCAAAGAACAGTGTCATTTTTAATGATTATAAATGATTTGCTACTTTGGGAAAACAATATTTAGGTTGGTTATAATTATTTTTTTACCTGATCGTAATATAATGATAATGATAACTAATGAAAAAACGATTACCTACTTGTTAAAAATGATTACGACAAGCTTTATTGTTGATTTATTTGTACTATAATTGATTTAAGCTTATTACACCATTTTGACTTAATTTTAGAGGAGAGTATTTTGTTTGATATATTTTAGATTTTTGTCTAAGAAATTATTTAAATAAATAAATTAAGTAAAGTACGTAATTAAAAAAAATCTATGAAGAATATAGTTTCACTTTTAACATTGACGGCCATAAGCATATAAGTACGAAGCATCTAAAGATGGCCATGCTGAACGAATTAGATTTTTTTATATAGGATAGGGTGACAAACTAACACACAGACCGCCTGATGGTAAGTGGTTGCTGTGGCCCATAGACACCTACATCTATCCTCGATTACAAATCAAAATGCAGATGCGTTGTCACCACCAGTGACGACTAAGATGGAATGCCTCGTTTCCAGTATAAAGGATCTCCGGTTCTCTACACTCACCATATAAAACACAGCAGCATTAAGCTACTATTTTACGCTGGTATTCTGTGAGGGCGTGGTCCCTTTCCCGTTACACGTGCTCATTTTTTTTTTTTTTTTTTAGGTTTTTTTTTTTTGTGGTTTTTTTTTTTTTTTCCTTTTTATTCGTATCAATTTATCAGTAACTATTAGAAACTCACAATTCATGTTGCAGTACATAATATATTACGTTAATAGGGTAGGTACATCTACATTCCACAGAAACAAGATTTTTGATACATAATGTATTTTTATATATAAAGTATGTTGAAACTATTTTACGCTAATCGTTTAATTAAAAGCACAGCAAAGCTGGTAGTAAACAAATGAGGGACTAAAGTAGTCCCTCAGAAACCATTAAAGGTGGGTGGACCATGGAAGGCCATGCTCCTTCGAAGGCCAATTATTAAAATGTCGTAGATATTGCCATGTGATGACATATTCCTTCTACTTCTACACCCATCGAACTGAAAATCACAGTCGCGGCGGCGAATCGCTCGCGTTTACTATTTTGGCAGTACAGTCCTTCCTTTATCCCTTTGTTTTATTACGTAACATATTATAATAAACCACTTCTTTTTATTGTATATTTAATAATCGCAATTTATTAAGCTTTAGTGTTGAAGCTGATTTAAATTTTAAGCTGATTTATTATAATGGCCTAAGAAGCCTTGTTCCTAGCAGGGTCATTTGGAAGAGTTCAATGAATCTTAAGTTCAATCAATATTGATTAAATTTGCAATTTAAAAAAGTGGTTTGTATGGTACGTAATAAAACAATGTATTACTTAAATATTTTTAGTTCCATTTATCCAGTAAATAAATAAATAATAACTGTTTATTTGTTAGAGTGGCCTCCCATGGCACACCCACCTTAATTCTGTTCTACACGGTGGTGCAACGCTAGAGACGTTGATAGCACAAAAGTGTGATAGACTCATACTTTTTGAAAGTTGTTAAAAACTTATTTAAGAATTACCGACAGATTTCCTTGTAGTGGATGCCGTGTAGTGGCGGTGCAAGAATACCCTAAATCATCCCGTGGGTGCCGTAAGTGGCGACAGAGGGAAACAAATCAGGAGGTGGGCAGCAGCATCTTCCTAATAACGACTAAAATAAAAAATAAAAAACTGCGGTTGCAATTACGCTTGCCAGGCTATCTATGGGGGAGATTCTATCACGTTACTATGGCTAACTAAGTACGGGACCAGAGCAGCAAACCTGTCCAACCAAAAGAGGTGTAAGTCCGGGCGATGTTATATCCCCAAAACTCTAGAGCCATGCTGCAGTTATATTAGTAGTATAGTTTTAGCACGAATGGGTCGGCTCGACCGTGGAAGGACCACGTTCTCACAGAATACCAGCGTCAAATTGGAATGGAATTGGAGACCCTTTTTTCTGGAAACGAGGCATTCCATCTTAGTCCTCACGGGTGACAACGCATCTGCACTTTGATTCGTAATCGAGGATAGATGTAGATGTCTATGGGCCACAGCAACCACTTACCATCAGGTGGACTGTGTTATCGTTTTTGACCCTATCCTATTAAAAAAATTCTGAAGTGACAGCCTCGAAATACCAACTGAAGTGTTTGGTGACCCTCCACTAGATTAAGTGACGACCGGATGAAATACGCAGGTTTACCATGGATGCAGGTGGTTTAGGACCGTACTTTGTGATAGGCGGATGCTTATGTTCTTTAGTGGAGTTGAGATGGTCTATAGTTATAGTGATAAGATATTATATGTAGTATATAGTTAAGTTTTAATACTTTCAAAATATTTTGCAGGTTATGAATGAAACTTATAAGGAAACACAAACTGTCAGTCTTTGCACTCCAACACAGCAATCAACACCTCGCCGTCTGCGATAAAGAGTACTTACGGAATAAAAAGGCTGGGAACATGATTAATAATATAGCTTTATTAAAATGTCATAAATTGCCAACATGCACTTACATTAATAATTCTTAAATTACTTACATATAATTTAACTCATTAGATAATAATTTCATTTGATCATTATTCGCTAAAAAGTCAATTTTAATATTGAGAGTATATTTTTAAAATGTTTCTAAAGTAAACCAGGGTAGGCTGGTTCCCTGACCAGCCTACCCTGGTTTACTTTAGAAACATTTTAAAAACATACTCTCAATATTAATATTAATAATATAGCTTTATTAAAATGTCATAAATTGCCAATATGCACTTACATTAATAATTCTTAAATTACTTACATATAATTTAACTCATTAGATAATAATTTCATTTGATCATTATTCGCTAAAAAGTCAATTTTAATATTGAGAGTATATTTTTAAAATGTTTCTAAAGTAAGCCAGGGTAGGCTGGTTCCCTGGTTTACTTTAGCATGAGTCAAACATAAAATCTTTTTCAACCTCAAAGTACTTACGCTCACAAATTATAAAGTTGTATGCTTACTTTGTCTTTGTCTTTTCTCTTTTTTTTTTTTTGTTTAAGACTTTGTCTGTGATGTTGGAAAGAATTAACTATTATTATATCAATAAACATTAACCACAATTTTGATAGTAAAATACCTATAATAAAACAAGATACGTAAGATTTATTTTATTTTTTTACCTATCTTCAAAGAAACTCATACAATTCTTGTCATTACACATTAAAAGCGTAAATTACAATTTCACTTAATATCTTAAAACGTTAATTTTGAACGTAGGCTAATTTTATCAGCATACTATGCCGATCAGCAAGGTATTTCTTGGTGAGGTTTCGTTATATTTATCACCTCAATTTAAATACAATTTTTTACGTAGTAGACCAATGATGCAACTATATTAATAGTAGTACGACGATTAATAGTACGTATAATATAGTTGTTACACGAATGGGTTGGCTCGACCCGGAAAGGGCCACTCTCTCACAGAATACCAGCATAATAGTAATAATAACAGCTCAATGCTGCTGTTTTATGTGGTGAGTGTAAAGAATTGAAGATCCTTTTTACTGGAAAAGAGGAATCCATCTTGGTCCTCACTAGTAACAACGCATCTGCATTTTAATTCGTAATCATAGATCGATGTAAATGTCTATGGGCCACAGTAACCACTTACCATCAGGTGGACTGTGTGCTCGTTTGTCACACTTAACCTATAAAAAAATGCAGCTCAGTTTAAATAATAGATTAGCTAAATGTTGAATATAATGCGAGGCATAGGGTAGACCGAGGCGAATCGGATCACAGGGCGAATCGGATCAAAATAAGAAATCTGTTGATAATTCAAATATCGCATTTACATAGAACGCACTCAACCGGCGTTTTGCGTATCTCCTCTCACCCCGCACCTCCCGACATAGGCAGTATTTCGATCGCACTTGTGAATCAGTGGCGACGCCGCTAGTCAGCGACTCGGTCGTTTGTGTGTGTTGCAATTTTGGCGCTCATCTAAGGTACGTACTTACGATTTCTTTGTGTCATATTGCGGATTTGTGTTATAACTCAACTATATTGGTTTATATTGTCAAGCAAGGTGTCTATATTAGAGAACCAATTCGCTTTTAAGCATGATCTTAGAGGTTAACGTCTAAAATATTTATTTCAAAAGTCTTGATTATGGGGCTAATCGGATCATATCGTCAGGGGCGAATCGGATCACACTTTTAAACTGATTTATGACATGTTTGAAGTTATTGATTTATATTTATTTCATTGTAGATGGTTCGCACGTATAGAAGAAAGACTGATGCCGGAGAATGGTCTCAAGAAAAAATGAAAGAGGCTGTAAATAAAGTCCAGAACAAAGAGTTGACCTTACGTAAGGCTGCTGAGATTTTTGCAGTAACTCTTCACGAGCTTACAGAGAAGAGTTACTTTATCCAGGGGTATTATTAAGCGTCGAGGTGGACAGCCAGCTTTAGATGAGAACGCAGAAAAGAAGTTAGCTGACCGGCTATTGCACTTGGCAAGTCGTGGCTTCGGAATTACACCCAAAGCGGTACGTAAGTACGCGTTTGAATTTGCAGAACGTCAAAACATAAAACACAAATTTGACAGAAATGCTGGAATGGCTGGCCAGGACTGGTTTCATCGCTTCATGCAAAGAAATAAAAAATTAACTATTCGGAAGCCGGAGGATCTGTCAAGAGCAAGGTGTGATGGTATGAAGAAGGAAAAAGTAGCAGAATTCTTTAATACTTTGGAAACAGTAGTAGATAACAACAATTTAAGAGGAAAACCTGAATGTGTATACAATGTTGATGAAACGGGTATGCCGCTTAGTAACCGCCCACCCAACATTATAGCCCAAAAAGGTGCTAAAGATGTTGTCAGCATGACTAGTGTTGAACGAGGTGAAAATGTAACCGTTCTAGCCTGTATGAATGCAGCAGGACAGTACATACCTCCATTTGTTCTATTCAAAGGTGTGCGTAAACGTGACGATTTTCTCCTAGGTATGCCACCTGGTACTGAAGTTGCCATGACAGAAAACGGCTGGGTCACCGAAGAAGCTTTTAAGTTGTGGCTGCAACATTTCAATCGCTACCGGACCCCAGGAAAAGTAGTTCTAATTTTGGATGGGCATGCGTCTCACATCAGCTACTCAGTGGTAGACTTGTGTGACTCTTTCGAAATTGAACTTGTACTTCTTCCTCCACACACATCACATGCCCTGCAACCGCTCGATGTATCGTTTTTCAAACCGCTCAAAACCTATTATCACCAACAAGCTACAGCATGGCAACATTCACATCCCAATCAAGGAATCACAAAAGTCGCTTTCGGAGCACTTTTCCAACGGGCTTGGAATCAGGCTGCCACTGTTGGGAATGCTACAAAAGGCTTCGAAAAGACTGAAATATTTCCACTAAACGCCAATGCAATACCTGACCACAAGTTCATCGGTGATCAAGAGTCGGACATTGTAGAGTCCCAAGTCCAGTCCCCAAGTTCCCAAAAAATGCAGCTACACGTGCAAGCCACAAATACAAAACCACTTGATAATATAGTGCCATCCACAAGTTCACAACAATCTGACGAAGCCCAGCCTCCCACCTGTGCAGAAATAATTAAAGAAATTCTTCCATCACCTTTAAAGTCACCAATTGCTTCTAAAAGAATTCGTAAAGTTTCAAAACTGGCCTTGCATTTAACATCACCTCAGAATAAGACTACTCTTCTCGAAAAAGAAGCAAAGAACAAATTTAAGGTAGACAATAAAACCAAGGAAAATAAGGAAAAGGCTGTGGGCAAAGAAAATACTATGAAGAAAATGAAGAATAAAGCAAAGCTTGCGATAAAAATTAAGAGTTCATCTCCAAAACATAGAGAGTGGCACTGCATTTACTGTTCCGAAATATTCGTTCATCCACCTTCAGAGGATTGGATTCAGTGCAATGCCTGCGAAGAATGGTGCCACGAAAAATGTGCTGATATGGGGGAGGAAAAAGGACCATATATATGTGAATTATGTGCCGATAATTAAAATTGATCTCATTATTAATTTTTTACTGATTCCAAAGCTATAGTCATAAGAAACTTAAAATTTTGTTACCTACATGTGTACGATCCGATTCACCCCGAAAATTGGGGCGATTCGGATATTTTTCTTTTTTTTAGTTTTTAATAGCTAATTAAGAGAATATATGTATGATTTAAGTTTTCAAATGTTTATTTCATAGCTGATTGTTACTTCTTACGTTTTTATCAATAAAAATAACATTATATAACACTTTAGTATGATTTGCTCAACCTCAAAGAAAAAGTGATCCGATTCGCCTCGGTCTACCCTAATGTTATTCAAATAGAAATTTGGTCGCTCGAAGATGTTACTTTTAAAACAATAAATGGTAAACAAAATTAGTGTTTATCACTGTTAGACCTTTGTAGTCTTTTTTTATAGTATAAGGGTGACAAATGAGCACAAAGTCCACCTGACGTTAAGTGGATGCTGAGGCCCATAGACATCTATTTATCTTCAATTAAAAATCAAAATGCATATGCGTTGCCACCCTGAGGACTGAAATGGAATGCCTCGTTTCCAGTAAAAAGGGTCTCCGGTTAATTAAGCTGCTATTTCACGCTGGTATTCTCTGAGAGCGTTGTCCTACCCCCGGTCGAGCCGACCCATTCTTGCTGCAACCACAATATATTTGTAGCATGGTTCTACCACGTAACACATCGTTCACAGCCCATCACTAGTGTAATATTTAAATAATCAGTAGACACTCGTTGTTTTGTAAACCTAGAATTTGTACTTTGAATGACTCGTTTAAATATTTGCCATTTTATTTGCAAATGTATTCATAAAGTAACAGCCTATATACCTAACGCTAATGGGCATAGTCCTCCATTCATTTTTTAAAGGGTCATATGACAAGGAAATGGCCAAAACGCTTCCCCAGTGCGTGTTGGAAATTTCACACGTCTTCGAATATTTTTAAAAATTTCTTAGAGATGCAAACTTCCCCAAACTACCACGGCTTTTGTAAATTTTATACTGATTGTCAGTTAATTATTCCTCAAAATAATCGAAGTTGTCACTAGTTTAAGTAAATAAAACAAAATAAATATAAAACCATAATCCTAAAATGAACAGATTGTAGGTAGGTATACTACTGAAATGAGTGAGAATGAGCGACTAGAAGCCATGAGCATTGCGTCAAAAAATTTTGCTTATTTTTTTGTTTTAAAACTACACTAACTTGGTAACATTAACTAGTTAAATAGGTAAAGGTACACTCATAATATTCTTAGTAACTCCTCGGAACCTATGTTGATTCGAAATTCGAAAAAAAAAGAAGACTCCTTGAAAATGTTTGTGACAGACCTTTAGCAAGATTCGTTATTGCAATCTCAAGCGCTCCTCGCAATTTCTTATTAAACCTTAATGAATGAGTGGATTACGTCATCAAGATATCATAGTTAGAATTAAAACTGTCGTAATGGTGTTTGTATAGAATTTGATTTTATTTAACCTAAGGCCAAAAGTTAAAAGTCAAGTTAATCTCATATAAAATAATCAAAGAAGACATTTCTTAAATGAAGCGAATAAGATTAGCCTTCAAGAATGAAAAGTTAGTCGTATATATATGCTACTTTTGAATTTCGCTTCATCGTAACGCTCAATAGAATTTTCGGAATCTTTTTCGTATATGATTAAACTTATCGAATTCGGACGGGTTATTACATGCCAAGGAAACTGTAAAATCATAATCGATCACAAAAGACTACAAAGATAATTAAAAGATACTAATTTCGTTCTCAAGGTAAGTGCCGAGGCTATAGAGTACAGATCTCGTTTAATCCCTAACTAATATACATCTAAAGAAATTTCGACATTATTAGACGCTAAGAATATGGATTTTACACTTAGTTACGAATGGAGATAAGACATTTTTGTTACTATACGGAAATTTTTAAAAGTACAATGAATGTTATTACTTGCTACCCTGGCTGTCAAAAATAACCTTTAAAAATTTAATAAATAGATAATCAATTGATACAATCTGCAATCCAATAAAATTAAGTTCAATTTTTCAATTTACTTACACTTTTTTATAGGTCAGTAAAAGGTAAAAATGTCGGTACGATATTATTTCGTGGGGGTGTAAGAGACCCTTGAGTTGCGGTTTGACTGAAGAATCTGGCAACTGAAGGTGACAAATTTCTGTGGGCCGGTTGGGGTGTCAATGTAGTTCTTAAGTCCTGTAATAAATTTTATCTATATATTTAAACAGGTTTAATATTTATTCATATTAGGTCTTTACCTGTGAAATTGCCGTTTTTAATGAAATAAGATAACGAATCTTTTATCCTGTATTTTTTATTTATATTAATCAAAGCAAACACCCATGCAAATCGATTCATCTTTGCCAACGGAGTGGCAGTTTATGGATAACTCTCATGAAGAAATAAGCTGGACGGGAGACAACAAATTCTTCAAAGGCATTTTGTACTGCCTCTCGTGAATTGAATTGTTGTTCCCGCCAAAAAGTTACGCACTCTGGACAAAATTGAAGTCTGTAGGCGCAAGGTCTGGTGAGTACGACAGATGACGGAGAGCTTACAACCCCAGCTCTTGTAACTTACTGTCGACCGGTCGCCGAGACCATCTATTGTGCAGTATATGAGATCGCACGTTGTCGTGCAGGAGCAGCGGAGACGAGCGATTGACCAAAGCTGGTTGGAGACTTGCGAGCTTCTCCATCATTGTGTAGTCCAGTAATGCTCATCCCGTTTCGTAAGAAGTTGTGATGAATCACACCGGCGCTAGACCAATAAACAGTGACAATCACTTTTCAAGGGGTAAGTTTTCGTTTGGGGCAATGTTTAGGGGCTGAACAGGATCCAACCAACTTGCTGAGCGCTTGCGATTGTCAAACTGAAAACATTTTTCGTTGCAGGTAACAATGCGTTTCTTCGTGTTGCTTGTAGAGCAGTGCAAGACACGTCTCGACGCGTTCTTCGCGCTGGCGATCACTGATTTCGTGGGGCGCCCATTTGTTAAGCTTTATGAAGTAAAACTTCTTTGCGCGCGCTTGACTTGAAGAGTAAGCTGGCGAACGCGTGACGAAAGCGTTATGAAAAGTGTGAAACGCATACTTCGCGCTGGTGACGATTGAGTTCGTGAGGCACCCATTTGTCAACCTTCATACCTTGCCAACTTGATGCAAATGGACCAGTATTGTTTTAATGCTAACGTTGAAAGCTGCTGCTAATTCAGTCGTAGATTGAATCGTATCAGTTTCCACAATCGCCTTTAATTCATCATTGTCGATCAGTCTTCGGACGACCACGGAGTTTATTTTTTAGGTCAAAATTTCCAGAATGGAAGCGGGCAGACCAATAACAGGTTGTGCGTTCATTTGTAGTGTTCGCTGCGTAAACGACGTTGATGCTGCGTGCAGCTTGTGCCGCATTGGTGCCACGATGGTACCTTTCTTTTAAAGTGAAAACATATCGCTAGTCAATATCAATATAAAATATGTAAAATAATCAATCAATAAACAAATGACTAATTCAAAAAAAAAACATCATGTATTTAAAATTAAATTAAATTGAAATTAGAATTCTTAGGCATACAAAAATTATTTTGATTTGAAATGGCCAGTACTGCAGAACGGCAATTTCATAGGTAAAGACCTACTATTACACAAATTTTATCACATTAATAAAACTTACAAGGAATATTAGTATGGTATAATACATATTCAGTATATCTTTTCTATTCATCGGACCATACAGAGTTCACAGCTGGATGAGAAAGTTTCCCATACGAAAAACATTTGTCGTAATCGTTACGTTGCGGGAGGTAGACCATCCAGGTGTGCTATAATATCAGTACTAGACGTCCAACTTCATTGGCACTACTTTCCGTCGTTGATTTAAGCGAGACGTTGAATAACTTTATTTAGTTTAATAAAATAAAATAAAAAATAGCGTAATGTTTACAATACCTATTAGTGTTGCAATACCAATTTATCAGAAGTTACAAGAACTTAGAGGCCTTTTCGTTTCCCACCCCACGAGCTGATGTGCTGATTTTTATGCTTTCTATTATGCCGTTTCCACACGTAGTACATATTATTTACGCAGTGCAGTGACTGTGTAAATTTTATAATTTTTTAAGGGTCAGTATCTACATCGAAAAAAAACTTAAACCTTATATGATCACTTTATTTTCAGTTCGTCCATCCGTCAGCCCATCTGTCAAGATTCTTTATCTCTAAAGGTATTAAGGTCTATAGTAGCTTTTATTTGTAATAAGTAATTCAAGTTACTAAGTCAACGCATTGAAACACGGCCATTTATGTCACATATTTTGGTACTCGCAAACTCATCAAAACCTAAATGATGCTTGCCGTTGAGCTAGTTAGTAGTAGTTGCATGAAATTACACGTGGCAGAACCGTGCTGCAGCTTTATAGTAATTGTAGCACGGATGGGTTGGCTTGACCGGGGATTTCTAACAGAATATAGCTGAGCAGTGGTTGTGTTCCGTATCGTGTGTGTAAAAACCGGAAACCAGGTATCATCCACCTGATGGTAAGTGGATGCTGTAGCTCATAGACACCTACATCTTTATTATAGAATCAAAATGTGGATGCGTTGTCACCCTCGAGCACTAAGATGGAATGCCTCATTTCCAGCAAAAGGGTTTCCGGTTTTTACACACACGATACGGAACACAACCGCATTAAGCTGCTATTACATGCTTATATTCTGTTAGAAATCCCCGGTCAAGCCAACCCATCCGTGCTACAATTACTATAAAGCTGCAGCACGGTTCTGCCACGTGTAATTTCATGCAACTACTACTAACTAGCTCAACGGCAAGCATCATTTAGGTTTTGATGAGTTTGCGAGTAGCAAAATATGTGACATAAATGGCCGTGTTTCAATGCGTTGACTTAGTAACTTGAATTACTTATTAGCCATTAGCCATAGGTATTACCATAGGCCATAGGTATTCCAACTGTAAATGTTAGTAAACACAATTTTTTTTTAATGTAATATAATTACAAATATTAATGATTTTCTCCTTTACGTGAGACCCTGTTATTTACCAATTTTTTTTATAATATGTGGTCGTTTTTCACCCTTATAGTATATTATAAAAAAAAAAAACAGCAACCTGGGTTCGATCCCTGCCGGATCCAATGAAATTGGTAATTGCAATTTTAAGTGCTGATTTACCACATGCTATACGATGAAGGAAAACATCGTGGGAAAACCTGCAGGTCTGAAAAATAAGAAAAAGAATACTTCGAAGACATACGAAGTTAGCCAACACGCATTGGGCCAGCGTGGCGGACATTTTCTTGCCTTAAAATCCTCTCAGAAATGAGAGGAGGTCTGTGCCCAGCAGTGGGACGTATATAGGCTGTAATATTAAGTTATATTTACTAAAAGAGTGGTAGTATCGAGTGCTAGAAAACATTTTTTTCCCACTGCAAAGTTAAGATTGTCTTTCAACCCAACTTACCTTTACATTAAAACAATATTCGACATTTATTTTATCGTACCTATTACTCCCGGAGTGGATGGAACTATTAACATACACAATATTCTTTACACGGAACGCTTAGGGCACTACCTCTACGCGCAATTGTTTGGTTTTCTTTAAGAAATGAGCTCAGTGCATAAAAGGATATATTTTACTAGTAATTATTTATACCGCAATGTTTTGTCCTGTACTGCCTGGCGAAGAAAAAGATGAAAGATCGTTGATATTACTCTGTATTCTCGATGAGTGTAGAATATTTTGCAACTTATAGCCTTTCGCTAGTTCCTCTAAAGTTTTACCTAAAATTTTAAGTAAAAATTATATTACGATCTAATCCCATGAGTAACTTATATTATATAAGGATCTAATAAAAAGGTGCAGATATATTTATGTTATAAGTATGGCCCTGACCAGTTAATGACGTTGGAATGTGTGTATTGCATCTTCCTGTTTCCATTATCTTTTTAAGTGCTGCTATATTGTGAAATATGATTGCTACAGCAGCACCGTCTGCTAACTGTGATGAATCGCAGCTCGATAACAGGAAATCCCACTTATTGGAATTCCAAAAACAGCCTGAATATACTGCTAATTGTAGAGTTGATGCACCTAAAATGTATTTTATTTTGTTATCATAGATTTATTACCTAATCGTAATAATAATTTAATCAGAAACTAATCAGGAAATACAAACAAAACTCACCAGCTTCACTTATAAGATGCGGATTAGCTCCATATTGTATTAGCAATTTGACAATAGAATATAACCCATGCCGAGCTGCTAGTCTTATTGGCCATCCACCTTCAATATTTGGGTTAAATCCACGGATTAATAAGTCTATTAAACCTCTTTCGTTTTTCTCTAATATACATGTTTTGATTCTGTTACGGTTGCAATCCATTTTGATTGTTTAGAAATGTCACATTGATAATTTAAAAATACCTTCATTATTTTTTCAAAAAATTATAAGAAACTGCCATAATAAAAATCAAAGTTATCACATTTAAAAAATACATTATTATGAATTAATTTTTTTTTCTTTGAAGTACTAATGGACTTTGCGTTTTAACTTAGAGTAAAACGGATGTGGTGCGCTATGTGTATTAATTTGATTATTACGAAATTCATTTTGCAAATTTTCTTTTTAGGGCTATTTTTCTGGAGGTAGGGGCTATAAGCAATGGCTGTTATATCGAAGTAAGTGCCTTATATTAAGCTCGAGGGGTTATTTAAATAATTTAATAAATCTGGAATTTAGTAATTTTAAAAAATACTAAATTTCAGAATAAGAACATATAATAAAAGTAGTTTAATTATGTGTGTACGCATATATATTAAGATGCCTAATGACATGAAAATATTAACTACCAAATTAATTAAATAAAAATTGTATCAGTGGTTAAATGATTGTAACTTCTATAGCATTAGGGTTTTTTGTAGCCATAAAAATATGTGTCGCTCGCGGTAGAAGTGAAACCTTCTAAAAAGTAAAACTGCAAGAGAATGAGACGAATGCAGAGTGACCAAAGACAAAAGCTGATTGATTCTCAAGGTGGTGCGTGAAATAGACACTAGATGGTCTGAAGTTGTGAAATCTAGAATTGTTATGCATGGATTGGATATGATAATTTTATTCAGTATGATTAATTTATTTATTTATTTAATGTTATAATTTTACGTTAATTTTTATATTGTTTATCTTAACAGTTAAAATTTATACTAACCATCTTTAAAGCACCGCACTAAGAGGAGATCGAGATAATAGGAAACACCATACTTGAAATTCAATTCCATTACTTGTTTCAATACATTAATTTAATTAATTTACATTAAGTATTCATTCACTCAGTACTATCACAGTCTATAAATCCATACTTTATTATACCGTGGTACTATTAAGAATACTTATACATATATTCCTTTTACCCCTAATGGTAAGCTGAAAATGTTCGTGTTAGGGGTGTTCAGGACAGTAGAAGAATAGCGAATTCGAACCGTCAAACTTTTAAGTTGGCGGTCTGCATCTTACCATTAAGCTACTGTCACTTACTACACCGGTCTATGTATAATTATTATGTTTTTTTTAGTATCGCTTTTACTGTAGATGGTTTATTTTTTTATGCTAAGTTGATGTTTTTTTTATTTTGATATGATTAGTTTGTAAATAAGTACAGCTTAAAGTAAAATTTATTAGTTATAAATTAATATGATTTAAAAGTCGCATGAGTAAATTTTTAATTATGTGAGAAAATATATTTCATCTTGTTTGATTTCACTGCGCCTAATATAGTTTAGTAGTCTAAAATTGTACAACCGTCTATTAAAAACCACTTTTGACTTTATTTGTACCAAATTCTCACAACAACACACACATTAAAACATAAAAACAACTTACTTTGTTTGTCCCGGAGCTATCAAGTTTTTGTTGCAAGATGCGGCTGCTGGTGTCGGTAAGAAATACTTGATGGATTCTAACTCCCTTCACATGATTGAACAGTGGTAGAGCCACGCGGCAGCCTTTGCTGTCACGTGTACACGCATGGGCCGGCTCAAACCGGGGTGGTACCACGATCTCACAGAAAACCAGCGTGAAGTAGAGGCTTTGTTTCTGCGTGTCGTCTGGTGAGTGCAGGTGGCCGGAGGCCCAATCCCCCTCCCCATCAACACGGTTGCGGAATTAAATGCGAGACTACCCCAGGAGGGTACCAGCACCCCAGGAGAATCCCTTGCTGAGCATCCACGACCAAGCTACTCCAATCCTGAGCGTGGGTGCTCAGGCTGCCCCGCGTATTCTGGAGGAGGGTGGCAAAATTCCGCTTAAGACTAAACTTGCTCGGGGAAAACGGAGCAATAAGTCAAAGGCGCCCCCTGCCACGCTATCCGTGAGTTTCTGCAACATCAGGGGACTTCATTCAAACCTTAACACCGTCCACAACCATCTGCAAACGGTGAAGCCGACCTTGCTCTTTCTAACCGAGACACAGGTGTCCTCTCCGGCTAATGCTTCGTATCTCTCATACCCAGGGTGGGGTACAAATAAGAACACTCTTTTGTGCCCCGGGCTGGAGTTTGCGTGTATGTCAGAGAGGACATCTGTTTCCGACACCTCGGCAGCCTTAAAGGTACGTACCTGTCCATCTTACGGCTGCGCGTAGACAGCGACGACCATCGCCGCATCTACGGGTGCCTTTATAGGTCCCATAGCGATAATGCCGAAACAGACCGGCAGTAGAGTTCTAGGGGAGGCGTTGGTCGTTAGTTTGAACATAGCGAAGGCTTCGATCGGGTTTGGCAAAGCAAAGCGTTTCTTACGAAGCTTCTTTCGTATTGGCTTCCTGAGAAATTGTGCAATTGGATCACCATTTTTTTTGCTGATCGGATCATCAAGGTCGTAGTAGACGGTGCATGCTCCGATTACAAGCCCATTAACACTAGTGTTCCACAAAGCTGCGTGCTATCACCGACGCTGTTTCTTCTGCATATCAATAACATGTTGCAAACCAATAACATTCATTGATATGCAGACGACAGCACTGGTGATGCTTTAGACACCGGCCGTGCCAATATTTCTCGGAAAAACGTCGCAGAGTACCGGGACAAACTTGTGTCTGAAGTCGAAACTTTGTTGATCAATGTCTCGGACTGGGGGCGACTAAATCTAGTCCAGTTTAATCCCCAGAAGACACAAGTTTGCGCGTTTACCGCTAAAAATACCCCCTTCGTCGTATCTCCTCAGTTTCAAGGCACTCCCCTTGTTGCTTCAGCCAGTATTGGAATCCTCGGCGTCAACATATCGAGTGACGTGCAGTTTCGTGGTTACTAATAAGAGAAGGCCAAATTGGCCTCTAAAAAGCTTGGCATCCTCAGCAGAGCGGGACAGTATTTTATGCCGGCTCACCGCATGCATCTTTACAAGACACAGGTTCGGCCACACATGGCGTACTGTTCCCATCTCTGGACCGGGGCTCCCCAGTGCCAGCTCCTTCCATTTGATCCCATACAGCGCAGAACTGTTCGAATCGTCGCCGACCGAACTCTTTCGTATTTTATCGCATCTACCACGGGGAGTGCTCTGTGAAATTGTTCAGATTAATTCCAGCCGCACAATTTTACAATCGCACATCGCGACAAAACTCACGATATCATCCATACTATCTGGATGACTGGCGGTCCACCATCGTGCGATTTAAAAGAAGTTTTCTTCCTCGCACAACTTCCTTGTGGAATCGACTACCACCAGAGAATTTTCCGGACCGATATGACTTAGGGACCTTCAAGAAAAGAGCCTACTCCTTTTTAAAAGGCCGGCAACGCATCTGCAATTCCCCTGGTGTTGTCGTCGGCAGCGGTAATCACTTACCATCAGGTGAGCCGTATGCTCGTTTGCCCCCTCTCCTATAAAAAAACGTCCCTGGGTAGTGCTGATACCCCTATTACACAACCCTGAATTAGGCTCCCTACGCCCTTAATAAGAGTGGTGTAATAAGTGTGAGAGAGTAAGGGTCCCTCGGGCCCTCGGGTCCTTAGGGCGTCAAAGTGGACCCGGTCTGCAGTGCCCTTTAGTCTTGTGTAGTTTGCGAATGCTGAACGAATAGGAAACGTATCTTACCTCTGCACTAAAAGAAACGTTTCCGATCGCTGATTGTTAATCGGTCTAATAGCTCTTTTCGTACACTTACATTCGGAAGACGCCAGATCGCGCGTGTGAACGAGAACATACGAAAGCGAGTGAACGAGAGAATCGGTGAGACGTTAAAGAATAGACACCAGTTAAATTAATGCAATAACGTCTATTTTAGCTTATCATCCGAAAAGACTCGCTGTGTACGCAAATTATTGTAATTATTTTATTTAATAAATAGATACAAACAAACATTTGATAGACTTCGTTTCAGCACATGCGATAGCGTAAAAACTTAATAAAGTTGAAGTTATGTTATAATTATAACAATTATTGTTGAGAGTTTTATGTTTTTTATTATTATTTTAATATTCGTTTCGTCCTTGGATGTTTTTGAAGTGAAAACTTCTTTAGCATCGTTGGGATTTGAAAGTCTGTGAAACGAAAAAGCGACAGTAAAAAGAGACAGACACATAAATTGATAAGATTTAACGTGAGAGAAAATTAAATAGGAAGCATTATAGCTCGATGCTTGCGAGAAAAAAGTTGTAAACGCCGCCGAAACGGCGTCGCTTACGCTTTTTGTTCAACAAAGTACGAAAGTTTCGTGTGCCTATGGAATAAACAAGCAGTGAAGAACGGCCAAACCTCGACTTCGTAATAGGTAAATGTGATATAAATCTTTTTGGAATTTGTGAGTATTATGTAATATATTTTATATCGAAAAGAGTAAAAACATTCGAAGGGAAGTTAATCTACTCGTCGTAAAAATTAGTTGCTGTCCCGTACTTTTAAAAGTACATAAACAACGTCTAAGACTTCTTTAGATATTTTAAACATGGTCGGATTAAAATACGTGGTTTAAATAAAATAAGTAATAAAATAAATGAGTCCAAGTAATACTAATTTGAATTAAAAAAACATGGGTGCAGCTCACACGTGCCAGAAGTGAAACCTTCAAATGAAATGAAGTATAAAATACAAATACTTTACGGCAAATGATTTATTTAATATTATCATTTAAACTACAAGTTCGGCATAAATAAAAAAATTTTTAGTAAATAAATGTAACAATCCTTTTAATATATGTATATACTAGACACATAGATATTATATTTTCTGAGTATACAGCGCACCTACTTCATTCTATAGGAGGTCACTTTATCGAACAACTGATTGACACCCATGTGGTACGTACAATAGACGATAGATGGCCTGAATTTATGTAATGCGTGTGTGTGTGTATGTGTGTGTGCGTGTGTGTGTGCGTGTGTGCGTGCGTGCGTGCGTGAGTGCATGCGTGCGTGCGTGCGTCCGTACATGCGCGCGCGCGCGCGCGGTGCGTGCGTGCGTGCGTGCGTGCTCACTCACACATCCACACATACATGTAGTGAAGGCGTAAAGACGCGTAAACAACTAGTGAGGTGAAGTGGCGATTGACAATTTTTTTATCGATATCGATAAAAACTACAAGTTGAGTGTTCGTGTTATGTAGAATGGATGTAGAAAATGGATAGTTTGTATTTAGGTAAGTTATAAATAAAAAAAAATTAAATTACTGTATCAAATTTATCTATATATTATATATTGATATAGATATATATCAATATTTATTGATCAAATTTAGTACACAGATAAATTAGATCTTGGGGAAGGACTTTATTTGGTTGACAAATTTTGTTGAGAGCTCTAAAGTACAAAGGGTTAAAAATCAGACATAAAATAATTCGATGTGATGAATAAGCAAAGCAATGCTAAAATATTTACTTTAAAAGAGAAAGTTATTTTTATTAAAATATAATATATTTGTTTGCCACTTAGTTTCTTTCTGTGTCATAGAGTTTTTCAGAAAAAAGTGAAGTAGAATATTTAGGTAGGTTAGGTTTCTCTATAACAGCCTTAGTTAAATCGGTTATGTGGTTAGAAAACGGAAATTGTCCCATGTTATGAAATCTGATTATGTCAAACAAAGAGCTCTCAACGAAAGGAGATGTTCCATAAATGTATGGAGCCTGGGCCAGCACTATGTACACTATATGTGAATATTGCTGTATAATATAGTAACCGTTTTTTATTGTTAGTTTTCTTTAATTTCACTGCGTTTCATTGTACATTCAAATTAACTTGGTCAAGGAGAGCAACACAACATAAAATTAAACATGGTGGATCCAGGTGGATCGGAACAGCAGTACGCGAAAAATGTCATATTGACAGTGACATTTGATTGACGTGTATAGTAATTCGTAATATCTGCAATAAAAAAAAACAACACGAATTTCAAAAATCTGGGATTTCGATAAAATAAGACTACAGGATATTCTTCTCGATTGCGGCACCACATTTTATATCACCTATTCGAGTAGTTACAGATTGGTTATATCGGTGTCAAGAGGAGCAAGAAACGAAACAAAGGCTTGAACGTTATTTTATTTACAACACTTTCCTGCTGCTTCGTTTAGTTTTTTACTTTAGTGCCTATAAATATACTCTGTACTTCAATAATTCATAGGAGAGCAGTTAGCTGTACAGTACCTGATGACTGCAAGTTATAGTTAAAGTAGATAACTATACCTATTACACAGTAACAGATGGGAAGAAATCAACTATTCTTATCCAATTAGGTAGCAGCAGCATAATCAGCCTATAATGTTTCTACCGCTGAGACATATAACTACTTTCTGTGAGAGTGGACTGTAATCCAACATGCGGGCCCAGTGCCCAATTAAACACTAACAATTTTTCAAACAAGTTCTATGTTATATGATTCCTAGTATTAGAGACATTAATAGCATGAGAAATAAGTCATGAGGTATACAAATAAAACAACTTGTTGAGACTTTTAATTTTATTAATTTTCTACATCATCCATTATTAATATTCCATCCAGGAATGACGCCGGTGCTTCTATGCTCTCTTGGTACCGAGCCCAACCCAAATACCACACAATGGTCATAATGTGAGCACAGCAACCCACTGTTCGTTGTCCGGAGATACAACTACAATAATAGCTAATTATTTTATCATCCCAACTTGATCCTTCCTTTGACAGCAAAATATATGTATAATATGTTCGTCCTGAGCTATGTCGAGATTTTATACGGCCTCTGATTAAAAGAGGATCAAGTTGGGATGGGGTTGCTTCTGCTACTACTTCCAGTTGGTCAGATACTTCTACCTGAAATGATCCATGCTGCCTAATATGTTCCCCGAAATAGCTTCTAGCCTGTTTTATTTGATAGGTACCCAGCCCAAAAAGTATCAAGTCAGACATAGTCATTTCAGGGAAAATACTTAACTCTGGAAGTTGACCATCAATTCTTGTGAATTGGGCTCTAAAGCGGTTGATCCGGTTAGCAATTATAAGTTCTGCTAACCGGTTGGGCATATTTTTTCTCTGTATTGCTCGAGTAAGTATAGCATCAGCATCTGGTCTATTTTCAATCACTGGATGGAATGCATTAATTATAGCTGCACAAATACGAACATCGTCCATCAAATGGGTGGCAGCCAAATTAAAATATTCGTGTCTCAATAGCTTAAAGTCTCTTTTAAATCGGCCATTAACTACTTCTACCACCCATCTGCATAGTGTCACACATCTTGTCTTGTTTGCACTGATGGTTGATAACTGAGTCTCTCCTTGTTCTAATGACTCCGGTTTAAATACTTTGAAGCCCAACCCCTCTAGCATTGGAATGGAATCACGAAAGCCTCGATCCAAAATGAAAACATCATTGGGCTGAAAAAAAGCCCTTAGACCCTCATTTTCATTTTGGAACAAAGCTTTCATGATGTCAGCATCTGATTTGGTTGCTGGATAGGGCCCCAAAATATCAATAATATAACCATCAGTGGCAACAATGAGAAAAGGTTTAACAAGGTTTCTATATTTGTGCAAGCTATAAGTTTTTTTTTGGAACATATAGTTGGATGATTTTTGAAGGTATATATAGGTACCATCAAATATTATTATTGGTACTCTTGCCTCTCTGTTTCCAAACAAACCCTCGGGTATTAATAAATTCCTATTTATTAAATCATTTCTTGTATGATTGATTCCTAAGTGGAGAGGCACAAATAACCTTAGCAATGCCTCTTTAGCTACTCTAAGCAATCGTGTTATTGAGGACTTGGTCAGATGAAACAGAGAGGCAATCCTTTCATGGGAGTCCCCTGTACGAGCTTTCACCAAATAGATTCCCAAAGCAATTTTTTGGTTTTTGCAAGTCAATGCTGGGCTTATTACATTTAAAATATTTATAAAATTGTCTTTTGTAATTCCAGTCCAGAACTTAAAGAGTCCCTCATCAATACTACTCATATTATTAAAATCTAGTTGATTTATTTCATTGTCCTGGATACTCAGCTTCAGCATTGACTCTATTTCATTTTTTGTAAATGTATTTGAGAACTGATGCTGGTCCAGAAACTCCCAGTTGTATAAACATTTATGTTCATTACATACTCTTGCATTTTCTGTCACAAATATTTTTTCCGATTTTAATATAATTCTTCTTAAGTATTCCGGCACTCTATTTCGTTCTACATTGTTACAGGCCGGCACAAAACAATGAGTACTTGTCTGTGTTGTGTGTGTAAAACCATCAAGTGTTATTGATGCACTTGGTGGCTGGATATCAAATTGCACAACTTCTTGCTCCATTTCTATATTTTCGTGTGCACGTGTCCAGCAGTTGGAACAAAGTAGCGCATGTTCTGGTAACTGAAACAATACAAGAAACAATTTACTTACAGGAGCAACAGAAAGGGTTACTTACAGTTAAATGCAAAGTTACATTACTTGTGTATGGTGGTTTAGTAAATTAAAATAATTTTACCTCATTGGGGTAAATTCTTGCTGCAACTTCATCTCTCACAGGACCACTAGCCACATGTGTTCGCCTTCGGTGTAGCGACATTCTACACCATGCACACATAGAGTCTTGGTGAAGATTAGATGGGCCTTGCCGGTTATCCTCAACCCTTGTAGCATGCTCCACATTTCTACGTGCTGCTACCCAACAAGCATAGCAAACCAGTCCTCCTGGTGGAATCTGAATTAAACAAAAGAAAACAATATGTATTGACTATTAACCCAATTATTTAATTCCAACAGTAGGTAATTAAGTAAGTTGTTAATGTTACCTCTCTTGGATATATCGTTTGTGTTATTATGGTCCGTTCAGGTCCTTCAGGTATGGAGTGGCTGCGTGTTTGGGCAAGAGACCGTCGGCACCATACACATGCATTCATATTCATAACAGCAGGAGCTGCTATGATTCCTTGTTGTTGTATTGTACGCCGAGTATGTACCCAACAAGCAAAACATATTAAACCACCCTCGGGTATCTAAAACAAAAAATATGAAATTAATATTTATTAATTTAAATCAAAACATTTCTAAATAATTTAAATCACAACATTTCTAAATCATTTTAATAAATCAAGATTTAGTTATTTTAACATCACCTTCACAGACTCAACCAAGGTGATGTTATAAGTTACATATCTACACACATTTCCAAAAATTAAATTGTGACTGTTCTGTTTCTTCCTGCAATAATATTGTCTTAGACCATAATTAAGGAACATCTGCATTTGACTGCCTGTATGAATAAAAAGAAAACAAAAGAGGTGCTTACCTCTCTTGGAGCAATTGTTTCAGCAATATATTGCCTTTCGGCACCCTCGGGAATAGAGTGTGCACGCCTCTTAAACAAAGATGTCCTACACCTAACACAAACATTGCTATCATGGCAATGTTGGAGTTCGTGATCTCCATGTGCCAGACCATTAGATACCTCTTGCATTATGATGCCAAAGCATTGTGAGCACATCACTTCATTTCCATCAACCTAAAACAAAACAAAACAAAAAAAGAGGTTATACAGTGTTTAAAAATATGTTACAGTAAATAGATAAATAAAATGTTTTTTACCAGATGGCCAAGATACCGCTCGATGACCGAAATTATTTCAGGACCCATATCATCGGTAGCATAATATTGTTCATTTTCATCTATTACAGAAGTGCACTGGAGGCATGCCATTGTCAATAAACTGAAATAAGTATGAGTTAAAATCTATTAGAATATGGAACAAAGGAAGAAATCATCACATAGAAATAGCATTTGAACAAAACAAGTAAATGCACGGGTAGCGGACATACCTGAAACTGAACTTGTTATTGTAAAATAACACGACGGAATCCAAATCACAGGCGAATCAGAAACCATATAACAAAGCCGGGGTCAACAGAGAAGCAATCAAATCAATGTCCGTAATAGTAAACTGGGTCGTAAAACAAAAACAATCACTAAAAACTCCGAAACACATCCAATTCAAACCCAAAGCAAAGCAATACTCAAAGACGTCACTTCTTAAAACTGTCAAAGTCGTCAAACGTCATAAAACACAACTGTCATGGCTGCCCTCGAAATAGGGTTATCCTATAAAAAAACTTTTCAAATGATCATTTTGTACGCCTGTACCCTTCTTCAAATTAATTTGTAAGTATTTTTATGAAATTACTCAATTTTTTTCCTATTTATCTATGTAGTGTACATAGTGGTAGCCCAAAATCAAACATCTCCTTTGTCAATACTTTAACTTCGATTGATTTTTTATTTATGTTTATTGATTTCACCATAATATGTTGCCGTACAACAAGTTCCGTAAATTTACAAATTTTTATTACGTCACTCGAAGAATAGATAAGGCCACCTTTGTCCTTTTTTTTAATTAATTTGTGGCAAGAGTCAGTTTGACTGCATAAAAGAACTCCGATACATATGTCGCATTTTATTTTATTTATGAGGGAATGAACAACGTTGCCAGCTATATAACATAATAGGATACACTCAAATAGGGACGCCTGACTCGCGAAACTAGGGAAATGTGCTATCAGGAGTCAGTGATTATGACAGGAGTAGGCAGTTATAGTACTTGATCTGCCAAGTCGAGCAAAAAAGCGGCACGGCCGTACCATCCTTTTCTCGAAGCAATTCAGGTCATTTTCGACTCCCTATAACTTTGTCGTGGATAAAACTAGAAGCCTGAAATTACAGTAACAAAACAGGCATTGTATAAACACGAATCTTTTGTATCATTAACCTAAAAATATTGTCAACAATATATGAACATATTTACAGTTATGAACAAAATATAACTTTATAAAATAGTATAAACATACCATGTACACAACTTGTACATGTGGTACTGCACCGTTTTTTAAATATCTCTTCTTAGAATTTTTGACCTCGAAGTCATTTTCATTTAAGTGTTGTGAACAAATGGTACTTGATTTAGTCGGAATCCAGTCTTTACGACCAGTAATTTCGATCCACTGTTTCCGTATATCTGGCTTTTTAGGAAAACTGAAATGTTATAGGAAACAAAATGCCTTATATGTATATACTTTAGTCTTTTTTTTAATCCAAAATGAATCCAAAATCCAAATAACAAGGTTTGGTTGATGGCCGCGCGAAATAAAAAAGACGCCACTTTCCGGCATTCCCTTTTACCTAAGAATCCGAACCTATAAAGATATCGATAAAATGCTTAGCGTAATGATCAATACCATTAATAATTATTTTTATAAGAAAAGATAATGAAGATTACTACCCAAAATAAATTGAAACTTATCGAGAAATTGCTACAGAGTGCGTGTCTCTTCACTAGAATCATGTGTCACCTTTACATTGCGTGCTTAAAACGACACTATAAAAATGGTATGCGTACTTTGACAGCAATGTATATTTTTAAGAATTTTAATAACATTTTACAGATTTTGCCTTTAAAACCGTAAATTTAAACACGACACTTCACTCCTTGCTTTACAACTAATAACAGCACAAGTAGGCATTTTTCGTCAAAATTAGTCGCCGCGTTTCACTTGCGCACGGTGAGAGCGTTCGTGAGTGACTTATGAGCGCGATCACGTGTCTCGGGATTTATATGACCGTTCGGGCAAATCAGTGGCATGCGTGCCCCGCCTACAATGCCATTCTATGTTTTTCTGTTTTCTATGCCCGCGAATCAAACTGGTCCGCACCGTTGATGCGGTGGTGGTGGGACTGCGGGGGGAGAGGAGTGCCGGTATTGCGAGGCACCGCTTTCCCTATCCTCCGCCGCCGAATCTTGGTTGGCAGCGGAGCCATAGACCAGATCCGCCGCTGGGATCAGGAAGGCTAGAGCCTCTGAGTGCTCGTTTTTCCCGGCCCCATGGCCTTTGCGCGTCGGACACGGGGGTGTCCATTGCGCAGATGTAGTTGGAGGTCGTGGAGGAAGGCGCGCCATGTGTTCTGGTGCGCCTTACTTGAGAAAGAAAAAGGGGAAGAGTAGTCCTCTTCCGAGGAGATTCCGCTATGGGGCGGCCGGCGCTGGTGGGGCTGCGGATGTGTGCGAAAGCGTTCCCGTGGCAATGCAAGTATGCGGTCCTTGCCCCCGCGAGGCGGGTATGCATAGGCGTTTCCCCATGTTAATAAAAGATATTTTACCAATTAGATATTGTACCAATATATAGATTTCGTATCAGTACCTATATGGTTTGCATTGCCCACCTCTATCAGTATCAACATAAAAGTACTCTGTGCTCTGTGGTGTCAACTGTCAAAGTGTCAAATCTGCCAATCAAATTGAAAACAAACTGTTTTTAAATAAATATACTAATCATATACTAATTTTAATGCAGATAAACCACAAAACTTTAAAATTTTCTACTCTCCTTTTTAAGTTATTACTTACCTTACCTTACTACAGTTCTACTGATATTCTAGTCTTTGTAGTAACTCGTAATGTCTTCTTTCACGCCTCGATTGGGCTTTGCAAACGAAAAAATTTTTAAGTATACCAATAAGCATCATTTGTTATTACATTAAATATGGGAAGGAAAGCATAATTTACTTTAACATAGTTTTGCTATAGCTATAACATAAGTATTGACTAACATATTTTATCACTTACACAGGCATAAAGAATGGCGGAAGATTGCAAAAAGGGAACGAAGGAAAAGAATACGAAAAGAACTCGCCAAAAAACTAGGTATTAAAGATTAGATTTTGTTACAAACTTCCACTTATCACTTGAATTACAACTAATATCCAACCACAATCGGCTGTGCACCTAGTTGCAGTTATAGCTGTAGCAGGCTAAACCTTGTTTATATTTTTATTTAAAAATTAGAATATTATTATTACTAAAAGGTTCGTGTCAATATATTCACAGGATATACGATATTGGATTACTCTTACGCTACTATTTCATGGCATATATGCTTACTGTTTTTTTACACAACAAATACAACATGAGGGTGTTTGTTTAAGACTACAGAGAGTAATTGAAATGAAAGATGTGCAGCAACATCTTCCTCAAAGCTCTAAATAATGGTCACTAATAGTCAACCTGCCTGTTACAAGTGCAACTTCAACAGAATCAGCAGCAAACATTTGAAAGGCTGTAATGAATAGAGTGAATGTGTTATAAATAAAAAAATCACATCATCAAAAAAAAATTATTTCACTTAACTTGCCCACACACTTCATACATTGTTGTTCACATTCATTTAGGATTGGCGATCACAGTATTAGACCATGTAGCTTGGTATAAGGATTTTTGGTTTAGGTTATATATGAAAGTTATACTACCATCTATTGGAAGTCACAAGATTATCCAAGAATCTTCGTTATCTCTTAAAGTATCAAGAAGTTAAGTTGTTTGCATATTATAGTCTTAAGAAATAGTTATAAAGAAATAAATTTCAGACCCTATTACCTACTTAACATCTGAAGAATACGAGTTCTGGATTAAAGAACAAGAAGAAATACAGTTACTTGAATTAGAAAAGATTGCAATTTTAAATAAAGAGGAGAATGACAAGTGGCAAAAAGCTGAGAGAGTAACAATGGAAAAATGGCAGAAACTTCAAGAAAAAATTGAGAATTTGCGTCAAATGAAACTGCAAGAAGAGGCCAAATTAAAATTGGTATGTATTTATAATATGCACTTTTTCAATATTTTTATAATGGTAGAAAGGTATTAATTCAGAAGAAGAATCTTATGACCTTGCTTATTTCAAAACTGTTGCAAGATTGTTCATTTATAAATGTCATGTTCATTTATAAATATAACACTATTTTGCTATCATAGAAGTAAGGGATGGCCTTTATTTTTATCAAGAATGCATGAAATTTGGCTTCTATTTGACTTGTATTTTTAAACTGACTTCTATTTCTTGTTTCTTGTCAAGTGGTCAAAAGTTAAAGCCTCTGTGTTTCAAAAATAGTATGATAGTAAATTCTGTTTTCTTATTTTGTTTGATTCATCCATTGAACTGTCTTCAAAAAGTTTGGATTTATCTTAATTATCAAACAGCTTGTGCAAGGTTACTCCGTCAATTAATACAAAGTAATTTACACTATGCTATGGTACAAACATTATTTTAAAACTGTTTTAAATCAATTGTTTTTCTCTTACTTAGGCTGATCGAATTCATCATCATATCATAACAAATTACGCCAATTACACTCAAAGAACTGACAACTATAACTTTATATATGGTAGACCCATGCTGTAGTTATATTAGTAGTATAGTTGTAGCACGAATGGGTCGGCTTGAACTGGGAAAGACCACGCTCTCACAGAATACCAGCGTAAAATGGCAGTATAATAATATCACTGCTGTGCTTCGTATGGTGAGTGTAGTGAACAGGAGACCCTTTTTACTGGAAACGAGGCATTCCATCTTAGTCCTCACGGGTGACAACGCATCTGCATTTTGATTCATAATCGAGGATAAATGTGGATGTCTATGGGCCACAGTAACCACTTACTATTAGGTAGACTCTGTGCTCGTTTGTCACCCTATCCTATAAAAAAAACTGATGGGGAAGCAAGGTTTTTGAGTGGCAGCTTCGTAGGCCCAGTAAGCAGCCCTGTACTAGAAAAAGTGACAAGCTGGTAACACACACTGAGTTAATGGATGCAGGTGGCTCAGGACCGTGCTTTGTGGCGTTTCTTGGGGAGGCCTAAGTTCAGCAGTGGACTTGTGAAGAGCTGTAATGATAATGAATGATGTCATGTATAAAATGGGTACCTTAAACAAGTTTACAAACCCAAAATGGTTTTTAAAAAACAATGGACTACACAGACATGTATATAAATTTTTGTACACATGCGAGATATTTCATGTCTAAGATTAGTAGCTATTAATTATTATATATATATATATATTTTATATAATGATTACATATATCTTCTTTCTTAATATAAATACACTGTTTGAAATTAAATATAAAACTGTTTATTTTTTATTTTTAATAACAAAAACTGGGTAGTTCAATCCTAATGTAATTGTAACAGAAATTTGATGGAAAGAAAACAGTTGTTTAACCAAACTTATACAACAATTAATTGATATAAGGTTTTTATTCAATACAATATAACTTCTCCCCTGGCTCAAACACACGCGGAGATCCTCCTGGGCATGCTGAGAATAAATTTATCCAGCATTTCTTGCGGTAACCTGCCCCATTCTTGAATAGCGGCTTCTCTGATCTCTGGCACTGTCTAGGGAGGTGGCTGATGGTTCCAAACAGTTTGTTCAAGAACTACTGTTTTGTTCATATCTGCCGTCATTGAGCCGCAATACGAAATCAAAGGCGTTCTAGCTTCAATCATAACTCCACCCCAAAGCAGTTCCAGTGGTAGTTTCCAGCCTTTAAGAAACTCCAGCCCTTCTCCAGACACGGACACGTCGGTTATCTGGATGAGTACCAATTCGCGATTTGTCAACGAAAAGACAGTTTTTCCAAATGTTTTCCTCCCCATCTTCTTCATTTTACTGGAGCCTATCCCACTGCAATCTTCGTCGCTGACGTTGTTGTAAGTTCGGACGTGCTCGCCAAGACCTCCGTGCTCGTAGTCCAGCCTGGTGTAAGCAATTCTGTTAAAATTGACTAAGTCAGATTTCTGAATGAGCGTAAGCTTGGATTGAATTATATTTGTAAGTTTAGAATCTAAAAAGAAGAAGAAATTATAGTAGAGTAAAAAAAGTGGAGTAGAGCAAATAATACTCCATAGTTTCAATGTAAAATAGCAATATCAAAACGTTAGTTTTCTATTTTTTTTTCTGTGTAATATTTGTTTTAAAATTTTATAAGTACTTATAATGATTTAAAAAAACATATTAGGTTGTGA